AACGCCCCCACGCACTGCCAGCTCCGGCAACATCCTCGCGGGGCCCCACCGTGGCCCCTCCCGCCGTGTGGGGACCCAGCGGCGCCCGGGGATCCCCTCACGCCCAGCCGCAGGCAGGGGCCGGAGCTGAGCCGGCCGAGGATGGGTGACCTTCCCCCTCGGTTCCCCCAGGACAGAGTGACCGTTCCCCACACAAATAAAAACCACCAGCACCCCAAAATGGCGTGTCGGGAAAGCCTTGGCCCTAGGGAGGGCCAGTGTCACCCTGGAACATCACCAGGGGATGCTCAACAGGACATGGAGGGAGGGAGGGACTCGCTCCCCTCCATCCCTGCTCCTACAAACCACCACGCACCCAGGCCCCGGCGCCCGCAGGGGCCCTCGCGCCTTCAGGACAGGGCCAAGGGGAGGTTGGTAGGGTGGGATGGCGGATCAGGCTGCTGGCTCTTGTGGCACCTCTCCCCTTGTGTGTGCTGGGGCTCCGTCTTGCTCAGCTGGAGCCAGGGATGCTGCAGCCGCTGGGACAAACCTCCCTGGGCCGTCTGGAAGCGAAGGGGCTCCTGCAAGAAGCAGAAATAACTGGGAGCACACAGAGCCCTGTCGGCCCATTGCCGCCTGCCACGGTTCTGTCCCACCTCAAACCCCGCCGCTCCAGCCGTTTAGCCTCATGTGCTAATAATTAACGCGAGCACTCGTGTTTTGCCACGAACTCCCCGTTTTCCTGAAGCAGCTGCCAGGGGCCCCGAGAGGAGCCGTGGGGCTCAGCCCCGGGCAGCCTGGAGCCAGCAGGAAGCTTCGCCATGGCGCTGGGGCTGCGGCCCTCCAGCCAGGCTGACATCGCCCTCTCCCGCACCGAGCGGGGCGAGCAGGGATGGATCTCCACATCCTGGGATTCCTGCCAGCAGGAAGAGAAAAACCCAACCGCCCCAGTGCTTCCTCCGGCTGGGAGCCCGCGTCTGGCCAGCTGGACCTTTCTCCATTACGGGAGCAAGGGACAATTTAGATCACCCCACCAGCATCTTCCCACCCCGATGGTTTCCCCGCGAAGCTGGAGGAGATGTGGCTCTGCCTCAGCGTTGGCTATAAATGAGCTTTTGAGCATCAGCTGCAGACATGGATGCCTCCTCTGAAAGCCAGCAGCTGCTTCTCGCCCGCTGTGCCAGGCCCTCCCAGCAGGTATCGGCACACTCATCACACCTTTACCCCGAGCAAAAGCACATGTAGTCTTAAAAAAGGAGATCTTTATTTACATTTTTCAGTCCTTTACATTTGGCGATTTAAAACCCAGGACAAAAAATACTCCCCAGAAGCCATGGTAAACATGTAAAACTGCTAGTTTACATTTTAAAACCCGGTAATAAATTGCGCAGAAGTCTTAGATTGTACAGAGCCATCACAAATACTGTTGTATAAAATCCCAAAATCTGTAAAGGAATAAAAGAATTACATCTACGAGTATTGGCACAAGAAAGGGCACAAGTTTTTAGGGTTTTACACCACTAGTCTCTCTTGGGATGGAGGGATGGGACATTCCTGTTGCAGATAGCTGGAAATATTTTAAAATACAAAACAAAAACCAAAAAGACCCCAGAATACTCTTGACATCCTCTCTTGTGCTGACTCAATGGGAAAACTTCCTAGCAGAAAATATTTACTTTTAGAAAATTACTGAAAGTTCATTGGAAAGCTAAAAAGAATTACTGTCCAACAAAGAGTCTTCACATCCCCTATCGCCCCTTTCCTCATCTCCTGCAGGCAGTGGGGCAACAGGTGCCAAAGCAGAGTTTAGCAAGACACAAAACAACACCGAAAAAGCCAAAAATATGGAGGTGGCACACGTGGAGAGTGGAACGAGAACAAAGCCATGAAGGACAAAAAAGCAGCAGCAGGGAAAAAAAAAAAAAAGACAGAGTATTTTTGGTATTTTCCATTGAATGCTGGTTTGGAAACAATTAGCTCACAAGCTTCACTCACACCCCACTCCTTCTCCCCATTTCAAACAAAATCAAAACCAAATTGCTTAAAAAATTTGACTGAATTCCTGTGTGCTAAAGTTTTTTAGCCAGAGCTGGGCTTGGAAAAATGGGCTTTTTTTCCTCTTTAGGGAAAGAGGGATGACCCAGGGCCTACAGGAGCTACCCAGGACTTAAAGAGGTTGAAGCCAGAGAGGCTGCAGAGGAGACAGCAACAAGACTGAGGACAACAGTCCTCCAGAGAGAAACATACTCACACCCAAACATCAGGTTTTGTACCACTGTGCTCATCCAAAGTACTTCTATACCCCAAGGACCTGCTACCATGCCCTGGGGCCACAACTGCGGGAGAGGACTAGCTCCTCCATCCTGCATGTCAGGACTGTTTCAAAGGGGTCCACAAAACACGAACGAGGCTCTTTGTGTCAGGCTTCAATTCCCTGCTGCAGTGCTGGGTGACAGGCAAGGTTGGGCAGGAACGTTGAAAACCACAGCGCTCTGCCAGTTATTTCTGTCCGCTTGCACAACAGCAAGGTTGCTCAAACGCAGACTGATACCCAGCTGCATCCTGGCCAGAGCTGCCTCTCCCTGCAGGAGCTGGGTGTGCCCTGCCCAGCATCCGAAAGAACAAGGACCACCATGGGGTCTGGCTCCAACTCCCGCCACAGCAGCCAGTGGAGATGGACACCATGAAGAAGAACGCGCCCACTCGCTCTTTGCTTTGCAAAGGGAACTCCACACACAGCAAGAGGTGCTGAAGGACCAGTTTGTAGCAAATATAATTTGGGAGAGCAAGCTCAAGTGCACGGGAGCGCCGCAGAGATGCTGGGCACAAGGCATGAGCTGCGGAAGGTCCAGCTGGTCCCTCCTCTCCACCGCCTCCACCGAGAACAGGAGCTCAGGCCCAGCCCTCTCCCAGAGCCCAGCTGGGTCAGGAGCCCACAGCCCAGCCCAGCCCATCCAGAGCATTGACAGCTCATACGAATTTTTAGAGGCGTGGAAGGGATTTGGGTTGAGGCCTGAAAGGAGGGATACATACTGCTGACAGCAAGGAAGGCCACAAGAGCTGAGCCAGCCAAAACAGGTTCAACTAACTGGGAGGAAGAAGAGCAGCACTGGGGAAGATACACCATTATGGACAAACAAGCACCTGCCTTTGACCCCCCGCATATCAAAAATGCTTTTCATGGCGGGCACAGACCACCACACAAAGGAGAGTCTTAAATAATAAAAGCTGGGCAGAAGCATAAATTGAAGAAGGATCCTCGTGCCTGAGACACAGATCACACCTCAGGCTACTTGCACTCACTTTAGGCAACACCAGCATGCTTCAGACATGGTATCACCAACCTGTGGGTGTGGGGAGGAGCCTCCTTCCATTTTTAGTAAGTTTATTCCAAGTGGCTCTTTAGGAGAGGGCACGTGCTGGTCGGGCTCCAGCCCTTCCAGCCAGACCTTGGCTGTTCCAGCTCCCTCCTCCTGAAGGGAGAGGCCACTCTCCCCTCCCTCCCCACCAGCACACCCCTCCCGTCAGGTAGCAGCACCCATGGACCACCAGGACAAACCATGGCTTTGGGACACAGCACTGCAGTGGCTGCTCCCTTCAGAGCCAAGCCCACAGGGTGCCAAGCTCTCTCCAACCATCGGGAACTACGAGCTCAGCACCGTGGTCAGGCTGCACCGTGTTTGTTTTCCTCAAGCTGCCTTGGCAGGAGTCACCATCCTTCACAGGGAGAGCAAAAAACTTGCTTCATTTTGTAAGAAACCAGCAAGGTGCTTTCCTGGATTTGGCATGAACAGGCACATGGATAAGCATCAGAAATGGATGAAAAAGCACAGCACTTCTCTTAGAATAATTTATTAAATACATCATTAAAATTTGTATTTATGAATTCAATCATTAAAAACAAAACTTCATCTCATATATATATATATATTTTCAGGGACAATGACAATCATTCTATCAACATTGGTGCATGTTGTGCCAGCACTGCTCAGAACAGCACCTTTTCTACACTATCCTTAAAGCAGCTCAACACTTAAAAAAAATAAAATTAAAAGCATTTGCAAAGAAAGAGTGCAAAGCCAGCTGCCTGCCAGGGGTGTGCAGAGGCGGGCTAAGATGAGGAGGCAGAGGCTGTAGTGCTCTTAACAGGTTTGTTAGATATTGCCCACCCAGCGTGAGACAGTACAGACCAATTCTCAGAGGTGCCAAAGGTCTGCAGTCCACAGTTTCAGCTGTGGCTGGATGCCTGCAGCTCTTAAGTATCTGGTTTGTGGTTTCCTCAGCTTGGGCAGTCAATACTAAAAAAGCTTAACGAGGCGTGGGGGGGCGGCGGGGGGAAAAGCAGCGCAAAAGAATAATGTTGTTTTACATCCACCAGCTTCTTCCCCTGACCTGCCAGGTCCAGCAGAGGCTGCATATGAGGCGCAGCAGTTGGTGTTCCCGCTCACTCATTTCTGCATCCTGCTGTGGCTCGAGAGGTGACAAGTGGTGATCCAGTACCGACTGGTGGAGAGGACAGTCCCCAGGCCAGGCACCCTCCTGTGAGAGCCGCCAGGCTGGGCCTCAAGGGAGGGTCGTCCCAAAGGGAAGGGCTTCCAGCGACAGGGTCCTTGGGCAGACTCGGAGGTAGCATCAGACAGACTTTTGTAACTTGATTGTCATGTAATTCTGGCCTGCCGAAGGCAGCGGCAGCTGGGATGGCGAGGGCACTCCGCAGGGGTGGGAGAAGGGACTCGGGGGAGCAGGTCCCCCTACTTCCAGACTGACTAGCGCTGTTCGTTCTGGGCACTGCACTCCAGCAGTGAGCAAAAGGATAGACCATCTCCTACAGGGCTTCTGAAAAACTGCCCTTGCTGAAAAAAGCCAGAAGCTGGCTGTTGGGCACCCCACAGTAAGGTTGGGCTCTCCCTTGCAGCCCACCAGGGCCTCCTGGGTTACAAGCAAGTGCCCCAGCGAGCTCCCCAATACCAGAGCCTGCTCTGCTCTCACCCCACACAGGCAGCAGCCCAGCCTGCTGCAAGAGGGCTGAAGGCTGCCAGTCACTCACCCCACAACACAGGCATAGCAAGGGCTTGTGCTTTTGGCTTTTGAAGAGTCCCTGACCTTCCAAACCTGCTTACTCCAAGAAACCTCCTGTTTCAGCTACCCTTAGGACCTACAAGGACAAGGAAGAAGGGCTGTCAAAACCCCTTCTGGAGAGCACATGGCCCCTAAAAAGAGAAGAGAAAGTCCACACAGCCCAGCCTTCACCTACAGTGGAGACATGCCAAGTCAGGAGCATTTCAGATAAGGCATCGCAGGTGCTTTGATAGTAAAGCAGTTAGTGTTGACTACAGTACAGAACACAGGCTGCTGCAGAGGGCATCCCTGGAGCAAAACCAGTTCTCCAGCACTTGATGCAGCAACAAGAGATGGTTCGGTTTCTCAGACCTCTCCTATGCACGCACACAGGTCACTCTGGCTGCCCTTTTTTGGGTTATTTTTCCCCCCTCCCTAGAAAGAGACTTAAAAAACCCAGGCTGGGATGTGCCATTTACCCCACCAAGCAGCCAGAGATATAAAAAGACACCTTGTGCTGTACCAGACTTTGCAGTAGGCAGGTGAACCGTGGCGCCTGGGGTGGGCAGCACCAGCGGGACTTGAAGCAGGGGGGGCTAGTTGCCATTGCTGATGCTGGAGTTGGCACTGCTGCAGCTCTGCTCATAGGATGGAGGCGCCTCTGCGGGAAAAAGAAAGAATAAGAGTGGTTATGGTGGGTGTTTGGGAGGTTCCCTTCACAGAATCCTCTAGGTTGGAAAAGCCATTGAAGCTCCTCCAGCCCAACCATGAACCTCACCCTGACCATTCTCAACTCCACCAGATCCCTCAGTGCTGGGTCAACCCGACTCTTCAACCCCTCCAGGGATGGGGACTCTCCCTCTGCCCTGGGCAGCCCATTCCAACGCCCAACAGCCCCTTCTGCACAGAAATCCTTCCTCAGAGCCAGCGTGACCCTGCCCTGGCACAGCTTGAGGCCATTCCCTCTTGTCCTGGCGTTGGCTCCTTGGCTCAAGAGACTCATCCCCCCTCTCTGCCCCCTCCTGGCAGGGAGTTGCAGAGGGCCAGGAGGTCTCCCCTCAGCCTCCTCTTCTCCAGACTAAACCCCCCCAGTTCCCCCAGCCGCTCCCCAGCAGACCTGTGCTCCAGACCCTGCCCCAGCTCCGTTGCCCTTCTCTGGCCACACTCGAGTCATTCAATGGCCTTTTTGGGGTGAGGGGCCCAAAGTTACTTCACCCCAGTCTGCATAACTCAGCGCAGAGTAAAGCGAACTGCTAATGTACAGGTTCAGGCATGCAGGCTCTCTCTCCAGGACCTGAACCACTGAAATCTATGGGGTTTTCATATGCACACAGAGAATTTGAGCCAACCTGTCCCATCCTTATCCTGATGCCTACAGAGATTAAAATCAGCACCTCAAAGTCCTGCTCTGTGCCTCCCCTTCTTTCACAAGCATCCTCCTGTACTCCGACACTCCAGATCACGGGTGACCCATGCTCCGTGTGCCCCACGCCAGGGCTGAACTGACAGATCGCGTGTCTCATGACCCCAGTGCTAACAGACAGGTTTGTCTGGGTAGGACTGTGCTAAGTCTGTTTGTTCTAACAGACACCCCTGGTCCCTGCCACTCCAGTCTGGGACAAGCATGGCTCCAGCAATCCAGCACGCTGGGATTTCCCCAAGCTTTTTCACCCTGGACAGTCTTTCAGCTCCCGCCCCCACAGCTTGTGTCTTCAGACCAGCTGCAGGCCCACTCCAAGTCAGACAGAAGATTTCAGTTACATCATTTTCCTGGCTCTGTTCCCACCAGCCTCAACATAAGCCAAGAAGTTTTTCTATCAGTGGGAGGCTGAAAGCTCATTTAAGAACAGGGAGATCCTCTCATGGCGAGCCCAGGGCAGGCACGGGTGGAGACGTGGGAATGGACAGCCGGCTTTTACAGCTGTAAGAGGGGACTCCTGCAGAGGCTAAAGCAGGCAGAGATCTCATGATCCCCTGACATCAATGTCCAGCAGGCTGATATCCCTATATTCCCACCCAGATCACAGCTAGCAAAGAGACTCTTGTCACAGGAGACGTTTACTACCACACTGCCAGCCTGTTCAGCTCTCCAGAGCAGGCTTCTCACCGTATGGGTACCCCCATGTGCTGTACTCCGGAGGCAAAATGAGCGAGCTGGCTGTGGGGACAGGCACCACGTTCCCCTCAGCATAGTAAGGGACAGTGGCTCCCGTTGACAGGCAAAGCGTGGGGTGGTTTGGAGAGCCCGTCTGCTCCGAGTCCACCCTTATCTCCTGGAAGCTCAGTCCTGGGGCGTAGCTGAACGGCTGCTGCTGGGAATGGCTTTTGGTGGGGATCAAGACATTGTCCATTGGGTGATAACCACTGGCAGCCTCCTCTTCCTCCGGGGGAGCACTGGGTACCACTGCAGATGGTATGTGCTGGATGGACCGGGAGGGGCTCAGTGGCACCCTGTTCACAGCAATGTTACCAATGTAAATGGGGAGAGTGACCGAAACCTCTGGCGACTTGAGGGAAACCTGGAAGAGAAGGAAAAAACAGAGGCATCCTCTGCATTATACACTGCACCGGGAAGGTTACCTGAAACAAGGGCCACCTGCACCACAGAGCTACAGAGTTCAGAGACTGAGCTCTACCCAGAAGGGAGCATGGAAGTTGCAGAACAGCCCACCGCAGCTCCCCAGCAGCACTGATCTACTTACTTGGATGTAATAGTCGATATGTATGAGGCTACAGCCCTGCAGAATGGACTGGGGTAGTGCTGGAACAAGGATCTGCTCCTTCCATTCTGCATGTTTCCAGGCTTTCACTCCAGAGCCTTCCACCTCTGCGATGGTCCTCAGGTCGTAAATCCAGCGCTTGGATTTATAAGCTACTTTCTGCACAAACAGGAGAAAATACAGCTAGCAGAAACATTTCAGTCTTCTGTCTCCCATGAACATAAGTCAGGGCACAAAACCACTCAACTGCTTTGTCAAATAAGCATAAGCACAAACTTAATGTGAGTTAATATAAGCATAGCAGAAATACCCATCATTATATGATAGACTGAGTTGGTATTAGCAAGACAAGATCTACCACCACTTTCCCCAGGAAAGTAGAGAGAAACAGAGTTAGCGAGAGGTCTGGACTCCTCACTGCCACCTCCCAGCCACATGCAGCAGAGATGCACACTGGTGAGAACTGCCCCAGTTTCAGAGAGGCCTCGTGGGGCTGGAGTCGAAACACAAGCCGAAGAATCACCCTTTCCAACACTCACCTGGAGCAGACTGGCTACCACAGCCCCAGTGTCCCGGCCTGATTTGTTCTCTATGTCTGTGCGGAGCTGGATCGCTTGCCCCACGATGTACCCCTTCAGATCCGAGGTGGCAGTCAAGATAACGTTGCCACTTTTCACAAGCTTGTAGTTGAACTTCTTGGTGATTGACATAGTGTTGGGCTGCTGCAGGACAGCAAAGAGAGATGTTGGCTCGAGAGAATCAGAGCCTCCAGGAAAACACTCAGAGATTCAACACAAACAAGCAGAAATATCTGGTCTAAGAGGACACAAAGAACCAGCAACACAGCACGGTCAAAGACAACAGGTCTCATTCTCCATCCCCCCAGTTTTGCTGTCCTATTAGTCACTCTTCCCTCCAAAGCAAGGTCCCCAAACCCACGTCTCTACAAGAACCCAGTGCTATTGGCCAACACCTCTCTCTGCATGCTGAAAATTCACCTAGATCTGTCAAAGCAGCATGTGGAGGAGTCAAACATCACTTGGAGCAGGGCAGGACAAGGCAGGACAGATCAGGAGTCCTTGTCCTGATCTTACACAGTCAGGATGTGCAGAGTTGTCCAACCACACGATTTTTCCCCAGACAGCACGCAGGACAAGGACAAGTGCTGCAGCCCTGGCACTTCCCAGCCATGATCCTCCTTGTTCTTACCTCGATGTCAGGGATGTCATTCAAGTTGAGAGGGCAGAGAACATAAAAGATCTTGTTGCACTTATAGTCCTTGGAGAAGCGGGGTGTGTCTATCACAGCTTTCACCTGATGGAGGACCTTGCCGAAAGGGCCTTCAAATGATGTAGGAGCAGAGGCTGGAGCCAAGAGGGAAAGAAAAGGATCATAAGGCTGAATCAGGCCAAGTGTTTTGAACTGGAAGTACAGTCCTTTTAAACAGCTTTCCTCTTCACCTAAGGAGTTCTGCAAGTACTTGAGAGACAAAGCACATGGAGATTCCCCCAAAGCTGAACGCTTAGGTCACTCAGAGACCTTGCTGCAACCTCCTTACAGGAGGGATCCTCTGCAACCACAGGCACAGGAGCAGAGATCCTCTCTCTGTGCGCACTGCGTACAGGACAGCTAGCCACAGGCCAGGACCCCTGCCCACACCCAGAGAGCTCACAGGGTCACGCTTGGAGAGGCATCAGCAACAGCCCAGACCTGGCTTTGCACCAAAACAGAAGGTACCCCCCTGTCTAAGCTGCTCTGCTGTCTGTGGCTGACCTTACGCTCCCTCTAGCATCTCCGGGCCAAGCTGCCAGCCTGCCTCTGTCATCCGTCCCAAGTCCTGCTCAGCACAGCTTGAGAGGCTGCAAAAGCCAAGGCTTATGTGGAAGTGCCTTCAGCCATTTATCTGCATCATACCTGGCAGCAGAAACTGGAAGGGAAAGTTGTGCTCTCCAGCTGTCAGGACCCCTGCAGGAAACAAGAGTACAAGGTAAGTGGGACAGGGTCTTGCCTTGGAATGGTGTGATCTTCTGGAGAGAGCTGCCACCACTTGGGGAACCACACACAACCTGTTCAGCTGCCTACAGCCCACTGGGCAACTCCAGACCCTATGAGCGGTGCCTGAGTCAACAGGAGCATCTGCTCCTACCCACCTCTCCTTGGGACAGGAGATGTCTCCATTCCCAAGGACTGGTTCTACATTGAGATACCCTGAAAATATGGTAGTTTGGGGCAGGGTTTAAGGGATCCCAGTGCCATAGCAAGTGGTTAGCCCCAGACTATTGACACAAGGTATGGAGAAGGAATGCTGTATGTTTTTCTTTTCTCAAGTAGGCTACAGCCAGGGGGAAGGTGAGAGAGCATAGGCACTGTCTGATGGTGGTAAGGAGTTCTGGTGGGCACCAAACTGCCACAGCCTTAACCACACACCAAGCCCCATGCAGACCGCACAGTGTTCAGGAGCTGGAAGCAGAGGTCCATCTCTCAGGCCTGAATCCACTCCTGGTCCCAAGAAGGGACCTGCAATAATTCAGCCTGGATGCTTAGACAACAGGAGAAGATTCCAACAACATTAAAACCTCAACACTGGTTTTCTTCAATCATATCCCACTCTACAATGGCAGCCTTGAGGGCACAGATCAGAGCCAAGACTCAGTGCATGGCTAAAACAGCTACAGACTCAGACTCTCTGAACCCATCCAATCTCCAGCACTTCCATCCAGATTCCCTCCCAGGGCAGCGTGATGGCTGAACCGGCCCCACAGTGTGATCCAGCCACATCAGGCAGCTCCCAAGATTGCCCTACAGTAAGAAAAGCACTAAGGTTTATCCCCATTTGTTAAATATGTGTACACAGGAGAGGTTTTGTTTTAAAGTGGCAGTGCTAGGAGGAGACCTGGAGACCTGTGAAATCAAGCTGTGTTTATTCTGCTTGTAGAATCATTGCTGGAGGTACCAAGGCTCTAGATTTGGCTAGCTCTTTTGTTGATGCAAGACAGAGGAGACAGCTTGCCCGTTAGCAATATTGGCTCTGCAGAGCTGGCAGTAAGAGCCCTGTTGTCAGGGAATTAAATGGATTACGTGACAGGGGGAGGTGGGGAAGAGAGAAGGGTGAATCCCCACCCCCCCGACACTGCGAGGCAGGAGGCAGGGGAGGTGGCATTTGACTTGATGCACCCTTCACATCCCAAGAAGCTGCACCTCTGCCCCTCTGCTCGCTCAGCCAGCCCACGGGGACCTAAGGACACCCCAGCTGGCGTGCATCCTGCCTGCAGTGTAAAGGTGGGCAGAATAAATAATATGACAAGCATCCCATCAACCACCACAAAGGCAAGTCAGGAGAAAACTAATGTCTATTTATACACTTTGTCCTTACAGAGAGGAGACAGATTTGCTCATTCCCATCACCCCAGCCAGAACACTTCCCTGATCACTTCACTCCCCGTCCCCCAAATAAAACCGAATTATGTAGGCTAAACTGCAATACCCGCTCTTGTCACCAGGTGGAGGCACAAAGCCAGTGACTGCCTTGGCTGCCAGGCCTGATGCCTTGCAGAGCTGGGACAGGCACGGAGGTGTGGGGCAGTTTCTCCTATTCTCTTCATGGGAAGCCTCGCTCGGTTAAAGGCAGTAGCTTGAGATGTAGCAGGCGCCGTGGCTTGCTGGTTCCAGGGTAAAGCCTGGCTAACATGAATGACTCGACTAACCCAGTGCTTGTTTGCTTCTCCAAGGGTTTCTGCCTTTTACTGGGCACCATTCAATGCTGATCTTATTATACCCATTACCCTCACTTTGCCAAGCAAATACATCAACTCTCTCGTGCAGCTTCTGCATTGCAGTAAGGGGACTTGCTCCATGTGAAAGGGAGAGAGAGCAAGTCCTGTTACTGCAACGCAAAAGGGAGACGGGAGTCCCAGAGGGTAGTGGCCACTGAGTTTCCACCAAGACCTGGACACTTTTCAACTGTCTGACTCACAGAACCCAGACAAACGTGCAGACAGCAATTTCAACTCTGCTAGGAACATGAAACTTCACAGCCTTTCCAGGACCCTTAGGAAGAGCTCACAGACTCCACGAAGTTTAAGTCCCTCTTCTACATTAGAAGCAGCATGATCCAGCAAGTCATTTTGGTCAAGCTCCTGCCCAGCTCATATGCACCAACAGAAAACCAGGCTGAAAATGAACCTGTGAGCACTTCCATGTTCACAGTTTCTAACCCCCTGCAGAAAACCGAGGGCCCTGAAGGATGCTCCCAAAGGCAGCACCAAGCAAGGCAATAGGCTCTCCCAGCAACATGATGGCCAGTATCACTCGCAGAGAATGTGGTTTGGCTGGCAGAGCCGCCGCTTGACTTTGTGGCACTGATACAGTTTCCACACAGATAGCCCAGTCTCTGAGTAGGTCACCAGATGAGAACTCCACACAGGTCAGTGCAGACCACCCCTAACAGCTCTGACCAAGCCCAAGCACCCAGAGATCTGTTGACTTCCAGCATACGCAGACTTGCTGTGACCCTGAGCAGCCTGCAAGCCCCTTCTGCAACAAGGTGCCCACAATGGCTGGAAAACACTGTTCCTGCTCTTCACAGCCAGTGATGAGTTCCAAGATGAGCTACCCCAGGCTTAAGTTGCATCCCATAGCAGCTTACATGGACCAAAGCCATGGCAGCAGTGCTTGGCTCATGGCCATGAGAGCCCAGACCTCAGTCCTGCACCTAGCAGGGAGGCAGGGAAACAGTGAGTTCTATTCTCCACTCCATTAAGTGGCGAGATGCTGCAGGCAATTAGCAGTAGCTCTTGTGTTCAGACCTGCTTCTTCCAGCCCACACCCTCCTTCCCCCCAAAGAGAAAGAAGCATCTTTATGCCAGCCCTGAGATCCTCCACATACAGAGAATTTTCCAGCAGGCTGGACCAAGCACCCAGGTCCTACCTAGAGGAGCAGATGCCACCCACCATATGCAGCTTCATTTTGTAGCACGGCTACCGAACAGCCGGCTGCACACCGAGCCCCACCTTCCAGCTGAATGTCTGCATTTCTTGCCCTTATGGCAAGCATGGAAACTCTGCGCAGGTGGAGGGGATATGATAGGTGGCAGCACCTTCAGCCCTGTGTCTGGCTGGAGCCCCCAGTGGCAGCCCGGAGCGGGCATTTGAGAAGTCTGATGGCACAGAAAGCAGAAGGGGTGTTGGAGTTCAGTGCCAGAGTTTTTTCAGAAACAACGGTTAATAAAAATAAGATGAAGAAAAACAGGTGATCCTGACCAAGACGGGAGACTCCTGTGAAAGCACAGGCATGATCCAGAGCACCGGGCAGAGCGACAAGGCAGCAGGCAAGCTTGAGTCCTGCTTGTCTCCTGCTGTAGGGAGGAGAGGCAGGTATTTAGCAGTAACCCCACATCGAGCTGATTTCTGGGCTCCTGCTTGCCTCTCCTGGCAGAAGCTTCTCCGTCACGGACGCAGTGGAGGCTCTGTGTCCAATTTGCCTGGGATTACAAAGCCATTTTGGTCTTTTGCCACGTGTCTTGGTGCCTTTGGCAGGTGGAAAGTTGGCGAGTCCCAAGCTGAGCCCTCCCTTACCGTGGGAAGGGAGGTGGCAACTACTTTTAAAGTCTCCAGCTGGCAAATCTGCTCCTGAAGGCTCAGTTTCCATTTCCAAATGCTGTCTAGTCTTGCTATAATGGGGAAAATCTGCAATTTCCCTTATCCCAACCACCCTGTGAGCACAGGCAGGGCACAGTCTGACCTTGTGCCAACACCCAGGTACCTCTCACATGGAAAACAGCAGCAAGAGGCACCTCAGCTCCCTGGGAGGGATACTTGCAGTGCTCACCCATCTCGCCCAGCCACCGCGATGGCAGGACAGGGCAATGTGTGCCCTGCTAGCCATGCATGTGCCTTGGATAGATCCCAGATCACAGCATCGTGTGCAGCATGCAGAGCTGTTCTGCCTGCCCAGCTGCATCAGCTGTGCAACTCCAGCACCCAAGCAGCGAGGGGGACACAAAGCCCATGGGAAGGCATTCATAGCCCCTATTTCTCCAGCCCTGAGAGCTGCAAGTAAAGATCCAGGACATTTATAATGTGTTAATTTCACCTGCAAACTGACAGCAATAGAGACGGTTGCTGGCAGCAGCAGAGGTGAGAAGGCCACCCAGATATGCAGATACCTGGGAGGAGCAGCCCTTTCTGAAAGCTCTTTTCTGAGCTGCTCCTGAACCACCAGCTTTGCCAAAGCAAGCCCCAGCCTGTGCTCGGGTGAGAGCAGGTCAGCAGGAGTTCAGCATCTCTCGAGGGGTCTCCGAAAGCCCCACGCAGCAGGCTGCAATGCTCTGGAGCAGCCTGCAAACGCACCGCGAGGGGAAAGGGCTGTGCAACCCACCGCAGCCACGCTGAGCCGTTACCTCCCCATTCCCAGAAGTCTGAACAAAGACTACAGTCAGCTTGGCCGAAAAAAAGCTTTTCCTTAAGTTTACGCACAGCTAAAAATACCCTGAGAAAGTCATTAGGCGGCAGAGGCAGCTGGATTAAATGCAGGGTTCTATGTTAGGGCCATCCTGCAGCAGCCTCTCTTCCAGATAGGAGCCGAGCCAGCAGAGATCAGCCACCCCCACACGGCTTTTGGAAATATCCTCCCTAAAGATTCCTGGAGGGAAGGGAGCTGCTGCCCCAGACAGCCTGGGAAACAAACCCAAACCCAGGCAACAGGAGCAGAAACAACACGCTTAACAGTGCGCGAGCCACCTTACAGTGCAAAGCAGAGAGTGACCTTGGCAATTTCCCTGAATCCAGTGGAGATTTGTCTGGAAGCAAACAAGCTCTCCCATTCACAGCTCAGCTGGTCCCCTGTGCTCCACACTGGAACAGAGGGACGGGGGGGTCGTTCACTTGTACCAGCAGGCACAGAGGAAGCCTGGAAGGACTCATCATGCACAGAAAGTAAATGCCTTGATCCAGAAGGCTGAAGCTGA